TTTAAACTTTACCTTTAATAAAGTAAAGTTACCTAATTTTTAAAGTGCAATAAGTAAGACTTTTATAACAAATTTATATCAGTAATGATTTCTTGGTTAATGTCAAGTTGTCATAGCAAAGACATTTTAAATAATGTCAACTTTGTATTAAAAGTGTCATAATTTACCGAATGACGCTTTATGACAACAGTCATAAATATTCATGAAGGCTTATTCATGTTCATGACAGGTATTATGACATGTTTATGAAAGTGTCATGACAGTCTTATTCAACCCCCTTCAAATAAAGTGTTACCAAAAATTGGTTGTACTGGGTTTATATGGATTATATGGATTTATCAGTGACAGCAATTTTTCTTATTTTTCTTTTTTTTTTTTTTTTTTTTTTTTTTTTTTTTAAAAACATACATAATTTTCCAATCACTTCCCATATATGGAATATACTGATAAATTAGTGGCAGCAAGGAGACAAAATGTGAAAAAGCTTACTAATTGGTTTAACAAGTCACCATTTGATGCAAAATAACCTCTATATGTTTTCTCCTATTGTTCATATTACCTCATCTAAGCTTGATATATATCAAGCTTCTCCTTGTGTTGATAATAGTCTATGGTGGTCATGTCCAAATATGTCTCATGATTACAAAAGCAATAGATGGTGTATTCTGTGTGCCGAGGTAATAGGTAATGTATCAGCTAACTGGTGAAGCATTCATGCAATCATCCAACTGTTGTCTCCTGTCTGAGGAGCATGTCTTTTTGTCTCCTAGGTAACTCACTCCACAGTCTGCCTCAGAAGGGTCCTGGTCTCTATAGCAACGCTGCGGGTCCACAGGCTTTCCTGTCATTGTCCGGGCGACATAAAAACCATCTTAACAATGCTGCACCATTTCCCGGGCAACAAAAAGCCTCGACTCTCCAAACCAGCCCCAACAAGCCCCAGCTGTCAATCACCAATGATAACGACCAGAACCGCCTGGCTGGGCCTGCTATCACTGCATCAAAGCCACGGGCCTTATGGAAGAAAAGCGTGGAGACGCTGAAGACTCAACCGAGTGTGGTGTCTCCTGGAGGCCCGAGCCCCACCTCAGCTTCAGGGACTGGGCCTCCACAGATGAAGAGCCAGCGCTACCTGCCGGAAGAGCCACAACACTCAGACATGTCAGAGTGTTCTAGTCGACCTCCATCGCACAAAGATTCTGACTCTATGGCTGCGAGGGGTGGATTTAAACCAATCAATCAGCTGAGGAAGCGGGGCGGAGGCGCAGGTGGAGGTGAAGGAGGCGGCCGAGGATCTAAGATCTACTCCATTGACTCTGACCAGGCCAGCCTCCAATCTGCTCCTCCCTACCAGAGAGACAGCCAGGGGGGAGGTGATGACCACAGTTACCCCCCTGACCTCTTTCCACCTGACAGCACTTACTCACACTCACACCAGTCAGATGCACCAATTATGCAGCTGAGCGCCAGCCTCCTGCACCACAGTCACAGTGCCGAGGCTGACCTGCACTCTCTAAAGGACAAGAAATACAGTACCTACACACACAGCAAGTAAGGGTTCCTGCCAAAAGTAAACTAGTAATTATTCACATGGTTGAATTGTCTCAATTTTAATAGTTTTTCTTCCTCTATCTAGTGTAAAGGACAAATCTGCAGGATCATTTGAAGCTCCTGGTTCAGGCTCGGCCATCCAAGGTGCCAGGCCTGGTCACTGTCGTACCTGCCTGACCAAGCTCAGCGGTTACTCTGGCCTCTACACTGTTCGATCCCCTCAAGCACGCTGTGACGCCTGTGCCCACCTGGGGAATCTGTATGACATCAGTGAAGACCACCTGCACTCACACTACGCCCACACTCACCCACACAGTGGTGACATGTTTACTCACTACCTTCCACAGAGCGAGCTTGGCCTAGTGGGCGAGGGCGACGGGCTTGTCAGCCACTTTGAGCCCACCCCATCCTCGCCGTCTCCTCTGCCCGCTTCCCCATCAGCCCAACACCTCCAGCTGAGTCGGCAGCACTCCTACGAGAATGTGCTTCCAGACGGCATTCCGGAGCATCAGTCACAGCCTCACCCCCACATGCGAGGACTCAGCCTTCCTGACAGGGACCGGGACAGGGAGCTGACCCTGGATGATGGGGCTTATGCCAACGTCCTCACAATGCGCTCTGACCGCCCATACAGCAGCCGCAGCCCGCCCTCTCCGTCTCCATCCCACCACCACAGCCTGGACATCCCGATGCCTATGCCACGGCGCTCAAAGAGCCTTCTGCCGGATCGCCCATCACACAATCCCTTCCTGTATTCAGCCCCCGGCACAGCACAACGAGACACCACCTCCCAGGCTGCCGCCCGCATGCCGCAGAAAACTTCCTCCCACGATCTCTACAAGCAGAGGATGCAGCTGTCCCTCACCCTCGGCAACCACGGCAGCCATCATGTCAACCAGCATGGTGGTCATGTTGACCAACAGGTGTTTTACCCTCTGCAGGACCCTCCTGTGGTGGCCTACATGGTTCCACCCACTGCCTCACAGCCAATGAGCTATGTGACAGCACCGCGAGCCTCGAGTGCAGGCGGCAATCGGCCTCGGCTGTACCGCCGCATGCCCAGCATCGAGTCTGATGTCTGAGAGTCACAAATAACACAGCTTTACTCTCACCAAACACACAAGCATGCAAGGAGAAGGTGTGTGTGGCTGGACCTGGCAGCTCTGGTTCTAAGCACATATGAAGATACACACACACGCAGACACACTCATGGGTGAAAGACTGAGCTCAGCAGTGGACCAAAGGGATTAACAGTGAAACAGAGTAAATACATTTCTTTATGAAAAGCCTCTGTAGGGCAGTAAAGGGGCCACAGGGACACCTGGAGGCAAAGTTGCAAAACGAGTAGTGTGTGTGTGTTGGTGTGTGTACTAGCTGGAAGCTGTGGGCAGCAGGGTACAAACTGACAATACTTCTAACTAGACAGATGGAACTCCTTGTGGAATAAGCGGGACACTGCAGAATCTAACACCAACAGTGGGATCTGACAAAAAAACAAGAAAATGTTAGGAAGACGAGCAAACCCATCCCATTCTCTCTGAGTTAAAGGGTCACAGATCCCCTTTTACCTGAAATTGCACACAGACGTACACATGCATACACATTTCACCCCAACAGTACCCATCCACCCACCCTTCCTCTCCAGGACTCTCCTGTTGCACTATAATTTCTCCTGCTGTTAACACGTTTGTTGTCTGAGCCTCTAAACTGCACTGCCAGCATGGCTTACAGAGTAGTTCACTACCAAGTAATCCTTGACTTGAATCAAAATTACTATCTATGTAAAAGACTGGAAGGCAGGCGGGAAGGTGTACGGGAAACCAGTGTTAGAATGAAGCTCCTGCCTGCAGATGTGCAAACACTCGAACACACACACACAAACTAAAAACAGATTCTGCATCTGTTTTTTTACGGGAAAGCTCAAACTTACCGACTGTTTGTTATTGTTGATGTCAGTTAATTGAACATTCCAAAAGGTGGACCAAACTTGGCCACCAAAAGAAAAAAGGAACCTCTCAGGATGTTGGTGTGTGTTCCTGAGTTTCTAAATCTAACAGACAAAGTGCAGCATCCTTGCTTCCTCTTTTAGCTAGCCTTCAGGTCTTACTGCATGCTTCCTACTGCCCTGTGTTACACTTAAACTCCTTATACAGGGTCATATATGCACAGACACTCACACCCGCACAAACACAAGGTACATGCACATTATGACATATACGCACATGTGCAGATTCGCAGTAGTCTAGTAGAATAAGGTGGTTGTGTGCGTGTGTGAGTGTGTGTGTGTGAAGCTATGAGATAGCTTCTCTTTGTGCACTTTGTAGATTTTATATCTCTGCCACCCACACAGACGTTTGACCAAAAAACACTTTTGTACGGAAAAATATGAATATTCTCAGTCACTTGCTGGATAGAGGTTTTTCTTTTTCCTCTTATTTCTTTTTAGCGGGTTTTAGGGTACGGTGTAGGGCAGAGCTCTTCCAGAATCAAACGTTTTTAGCATTAGACAAAGGGTTACAGTATCATGCATACAACACACACAACACAAACACTTTTCTCTTCCTTTGTCTACTTTAATGGAGCTCATCCCTCCTTTGAGCCTTTTTCCGCTTTCCTAATCGGATGGTTTCTGTTATTCTCTCTATTGCTTATTGCTCTTCCCCTGCTCCCTGCTGTAGAGTAGATGAAGTATCAAAAGAGTAAAGTTCAGTCTTGGTGTTAAAAAAAAATCCATTTTTGATGGAGATCACTTAATATCAGTAGTTGTGAGAGATCATCAGAGTCCGCACTATTTCTCATAGGATGCAGTGTCCTTTTCTGATTCCTTTCTATGTAAAACATAAGGACTTGCAGACTTTTTTAATGTATTCGTAGTGAACGTTTAGGCAGAGTGCATCTTCAGGTGCAGGTTTTCATCATCAAAATTATCGTTAGAGTAGCTGGTAGAGAATGGTACTGGAGTACTCCTAACCTGGAGTAACGCTGTCCTGCCTTTCATCCCAGAGAGGCACTCGAAAGAGACTTGTTTCAGAAACAGCACACAGACACACAAGCACACACTCGACAGCCCGGCAATGTGCATATGAGTGTTTTAGAAATCCATAACCTACCAAGCAAGGGCATTGATTTTTCAGCACAAGGATTTTGATAGAAACAAGAATTGATGTCCCATTAGCTGAGTGTCTGTCTCTATTCTCTTTTTTGCTCTTCTACTCTCTCTCTCTCTCCCACGAACAACCACACTCACTTCTAAACAAAACATACGTGACAAATGTGACAGAGAACGTAGGACAGGTTAATAAAAAAGGAGAAAGGAAAATGCACCTTTGAAAGGTGAGTGCTACCCCTATTTTGTTAATCTTAATAGGTTTGTTTTGTGAGTTATATACACAATATCAGGTTGCAATATTATACTTCTGTACAGATATTTTTTTTGTTTGTTTTAACTGTTTGCAAATTCTTTCATTTGTTTGATTTAAATGGTATTAAATATTGAACTCATTTGAAATGCAACATGACTTTTTAAATTCTGCTTTGAAAAATGAAAGGCATGTTTTACATTCTTCTGTCATTTTATTCCCCTACTCCTTCCTCTAAAGTGCTACAATTTGGGACCTCACTGTACAGTCATCACAGATGGTTTAGCACAGTAGTTAAGTATGTGGGTCAGCTAACCAGTTTTCCAACTTACCCAGCTGAACCGTATTCGATGACTGCCCAGCTTGTGTGGTTCAAACATCCCCATTCCACCCACTGTGTTCTCTTCCACCACGTGTCTGTTCTTTTCCACCTCTGAGTGTGAGAGTATGCGTGCGTGTGTGTGAGTGTGTGCTTCACTTTGTGAAGCCATTTGTATGAAAGAGAGGATGTGTGTATTAGAGGTTACTTGGGTGTATGTGTCTGTGCTTTTGACATATTCTTTCTTTCATCCTACACACAACCTTTGACCTGGCTTTTATTATTCATGCAACACAAATACATAAACATGCACACACACACACACACACACAGAGACATGTCTCTATTGTCATGTTAAGAAAGCATGTAGAATAAGTTTTGTACATCCAACACCAGAGACTTTTCTTTTTTTTTTTTTTTCAACCCTTTAATTTCGATTATTTTGGGGTTTTGTTTTTGTTGCTGCATGACGTGTTTGTGTTTTCAGTGGTACCTATTTTGCTGCAACATCTGATTTCTCCCTGGGTTTGGACCCTCGGGGCTACATGCAACAACACACACACCTTCCACCCTGACTGACATACCTTTCAGGTTCAGAGTTCCACACTTTGTATTTTCTGCTTGGATTGTGAGCAGCACAGCACCTGGCCGAGGAATTCTTTGTATGGATTTCAGAACCAACTGAGATCTTAGTTTCAAACTCATTCTTCCTGCTCTGGGTGAAAGGAGTGTGTTGGTGTGTAGTCCTGTGAGTCTCTGCTATGTATCAAACCTGTGTATAAGTTCAGGGGTTTCAAAGCTACTAGTTGTGTTGTAAATACTACCTTATCACTCAGTACCTCTGTACAATCTGTAAATAAGTAAAGGTTACATTTTTCTACTTGTGTGAGTCTTTTTTATCTTTCTAAACTGTCTATCCATCTATTTATCCATATATGTATCTAGCTAAATGACATATTTCTTAGCAACCATACCTTCTAATTTGCTTGTTAAATTAAGTTCATTTCAACTTGAAGAAATGTGTTTCTTCTTCGTCCTATTTTTTTTTAAACGTATAATCTTTCCAGCCAGCTTAAAAATTAGTATTTGGCTATTATACGTGCCAGTTATTGTGCTAAAGAGGCTTTTCTTTCAGTGATAATGCAATATCTTTTAGCAATTTTGCTTACTAATATTTTTGTTTGGTTGATTTAATAGATTTTAATCTATATTTTCAGCTTGATACAATATTTTGACTCTTTCTTGCTCAATTGCTTGCTAAACAATTAAGTTATTTTGTTAGCTATCATGTCTGTTTGTTTTTACTACTTAAATTTTACGTTAGGTCCAAAACTCTGAATCTCAGAATTGCCAAGGTCACAATTTCCAGGAAGGAGGACTTTCCCAGCATGATCACATGACATCATGGTTTAACCAACGTCTGGTGCTCAGAGCAGCTTCTCTCCCACAGGCCCCTGCACCGGTGGGGGACATCTGCCTGAATCCTTTTCCTTGCTGGTTGAGAATTCCTGGCTTCAAAAGAGTGACTAAATGAGACTCATGCAACTGCAAGCCATGAGAAGTTTCAGATGGTTTATTCACATTCAAACTAATCAAACCATACAAAGAGCACTCCATGCATAGGAACAGCTTCGGAAGAGCTTTGTTCCCCGTCTATCATTTGCCAAACTGGTGGTAACTGTTTCCCAGTAGAAAATAACCCTCAACCTAGCTTATCGAAGCACCTGCAGAAAGAATGTTAATATTATTCATTCCCCTAGAAGAAAAGCTGTCTGATAACCTGGACAAAGCAGTTCTTCTCCTCTGTCCAGAGAAGACAAACCCGAGCTCAACACACATGCCATTTGTGTTAGTGAGACCAGGACTCTGCCCAGACCAAACTTCCCCAGCCTCTAGCTTGAGTGGTTTGCCACTGTACAATGGCTTTTCCTTTGTTTATTGAACTGTCCAAGGCCACCAGGTTTTATTTTTTTGTTGTTCATTGGACGTCTTTCTTTGATAATAGGATTGATCGAAGAAAGGATTGTGTCTGGGGAAATTTAGGAAATTTAGGTTAGAATAACACAATTTATTGTGGTTTAAATTGCCTTTTTGAATTGTTGATGCTTGAACCAAGGTTGGTTTTTAACCAATGTTAAAGACAAACACTGGTTTTTAATCATAATATTCCCACTGAACTGTGATATCATTGTTGGTTAGTGGTTTCATTCATATTTGTTCCTTATCCCATTTTTTAGTAGTTTACAACATATTTGCAAACCAATTCTAGCGGAAAACTAATTTGGCCTCATTCAAAATTCCTCAAAATAATCCTGGTTCATACTGAACTGTAGTATTATTGTATCATTTTAGTGCTTTTTGATTTATTCTTATTTGTTCCCTTCTTGTTTCACCTTAGGTAGTTTTGTTTAATTATTTCATTTTTACGTAACTTGAAGTCTGAGTATTTTTGTTAATAAATTATAAAATTTTGGAGAGAAGTTGTCTGTTTATTCCATATATGTGTGCAGTGCATCAGTGATCAACATAATCATTGCATCTATTGTTATTCAATACCAAACATCACCAGGCAGTTATTGATAAAAATTAACAGACTGAAAATTATCTGATAATCATGATTTATCCACACTTGGTAATCTTGATCAAAATTACTAATTTTGTAAATAATTAACTTTCATCTAGTTTAGATCAGAAGTACCCAAAGTTGGTCCTGGAGGCCCGGCATCTTGCATGTTTTAGTTATCTCCCTGGTGTTAGTATCAACCTTCTCAGCAAGTCAATGTTCTTCTTAGGGCTCTAATGAGCCATCATTTGATCCAAGTACGTTAAACCAGGGAGAGAACTAAAACATGCAGGATGCCGTCCCTCGAGGACCCACTTTGGGCACCACTGGTTTAGATAAATAGGTAGATTCATAACCACACCCAACCTATTGTTTCACAGCAGTGTGAAGCCCATCTAGCTATGCACTGTATTGTACAGGACCTATGACCAATAATCATTCGGTTAATCAACAGTATGCCATGTTTGCAGCTAATAGCTCATTGGGAATCACATTGGTATTAAACATTGTATGTCTATCAACTATGATCATTCTGTACAAATGATCAAAGTTTCAATGGACAAAAAAACAGGCACACTAGGTGTCAAACTATTAAAAATATGCATCCAAATGAAATCTAAAACTGTTTTTTGCTCTGCTGTATGTCATCAGTAGACCAAACTTTGTCCTTTGAGTTGGAGCCATTCCATTCCTTCATGATTCAAATTCAAATGGCTAAAATCAATGAAAGCAAGTCTGAACATCAGTGACATGTGGTGAGGTTCATAGCTAATGAGGCTATGAACCTCATATTTGTAATCATAGTCAGATTATAAATATAGACCACCTACATGTTATTTACATACGGAAATTTTGTGGACAACTCTGGAGTGCAAAAAGACTATTCTTTTACATGACATACATGACTGCCCTTCCGCTGCAGCCAGCGCTGCTATAAGCTATGCTAACAGCAGTGTGTGGGTTAAGTTTCTTTTCTGCATTCTTTACATATGTAAACTGTAGCTCAAAAAATGCACATCTCATTAGTAAACTAAAGAAAAAAATATTGTATTGCCTCTTATCTTATATATGAAGTCTGTGTGCCGCTCATTCTGAACAAAAATATCAGTTAATCCAAAGCCAAGTCTATACCCAACACAATTTGAGAAAAGGAGGCAAGAAAAGGCAGTTTCTAGCAGGACATCCACAAAGCCAGTCTTTTATTTCCGTTTGAAAACAGCGGGTACCCTTCCGCCTCATAGTTTGAAGCAAACCTTTCAGCTCCGTTGTTGGTCTTTCTTTAGTTTAG